CTGAGCTTAATATTTTCTATGTCTGTTTTGGTGAAGTGCGTTGTGACATTGATGCAAGTACAAGGATRGTGGACGATTAGGGAGACGAAGTCTCTTGCAAAACACGTCTATTGGAAGTCAAGAATCCTTTGTTAAATGAGATGCGTACACACAGTTTGAAAAAAAAACTATGCTTGCGCAAAGAAAAACAACATGACTCAGTCTTTAAGCGGCGTTTACACGAGCAATTTTTCCTTGACAACTTCCTTGACAAGGAAAAATTGCCCGTGTGAATGGTCAACAAATTTTCCTTGACAATTCTTCCTTGCCACATTTTCCTTGTTGTCCATTTGCACCAGCAAATTTCGTCCCTGACAAGCGAACATGTTGCCTCTTCCTTGACAGGGAAAATTGTCAAGGAAAAATTGCTCGTGTAAACGCCTCTTTATTTGTCATCAATCCCGTGGTGAATCTTGCCTATGTTATTACAAAAAAGAACAATAAAAGTCGAAYCTCTATGAAGCGTTCACCTTGCTTTTATCGTTTTCGAAAGGTTTCTTGTGGTTTTAGAACGGCTCACTGCATGGGCTATAGGAGGAGCTGAATCACACAAAGATCTTAGAAAATAATAACAACTGTTTAATTACACTTTCAGTACCTGAATATTTCCCAATCGAAAGACGATACTTATCAGCTTCATCAGACACGCTAAACGAGTCGTACTCCGCGTATCGCGCGTTTCCCTCGAAGTCCTCYARATCAATACGAAGTCGGAAATTTCCTTTTGATRTCATGGCGTGGATTCGATCCAKTCCTAACCAGTATTCACCATTCTCRTTTCCAAACCCTTGTTTATAGTCKTGCCAGCCACGGTAGAAATCAACTGAGCCATCGAGACGTCTCTGRAAGATTGTCCATCCTCCACCATTGGTTACCATGTCACAATAGGCAAGAAATGACGGAGAAAGACTAGGTTTSATACGGTAGACGTCACTTGGTTTTTGTTTGTCAATGGCGAAACAGCCYTCAGCAGGTACTAAGGTCTTCTCCTGARATGASAAACAATYGTCAGAAATCAACTAAGGTTCATGTTTTGATGGTAGCTCGTTCATTCGAAAAAAGATATCTCTAAGCTTGGTTATAAAAGATTCCTTCGAGGGTTTTTGACACCAGCACAATTCGGCGATGTCTGCTTTCAAAATGGTTTATCTTGAAAAAATTGTTGTGAAGTCGATAAATTATTAATCGCAGGATTTTTATTGACACCTTTTCTATTTTTGCTCCGACAAAGGGCAAACATCCAAATCGTCAGTTTTAATTAAAATTATCAAAATTTACCAAATCGTTAGTTTTAATTAAAATTATGCTTGTTTTCTATAATGAAGCAACGAACAACGAACGGMAAAAACTTTCATTCTGTGATTATGATTCCTCAATTTTCGCACGAAAAGAAACAAAAGTAAGATGGAAATAGATTAAATATTTAAAACCAAAATGCCTTTCCGTTCTTTTTCCTCTATCTTTCGTTCCGTACTTCTGCTTCCTACTTCTTGATTCCTTTTCCATCCGCTGATTATCATACTAACGTAAACGCCTTTTTTTCGTACTTCGTTAGCGAAAATTGGCTTTACGTTTTCTATCTTTTTACCGATAGCTGATAATTCATTGTACGTCATCGCAAGTGTTTCATGAAAAACATCGTGGAAGCTAGATAACAATAGTTTAATGGCTCTAGTAATCTTCTAAACAGAAGTATTCAGAGCAAGGCTCCATCGATCGAGCAACACAAGATATGTAGATGATAGCATTAAGGGTATATATATATACCCTTAATGCTTATCACAGGGAAAGAAACAAAGAATTTAGAGGGAAAAAGGTTTATCTTACATTTTCTTACTTGCCAACATGCAATTATTATTACTTGACGAAGTAAACTAAGATGAGTTTAACAACTTCTTTACCTCAATACCACTGTTCAATGTACTTACTGGCAAAGCGTAATGATCCACTTCTGTTACTTTGGTAAGTTGTCGCTGTAATTCATTCTTGTCAAAGTCCAACAATTCACACTCCAACAAGCCAGCAATGTCACTTGTTGTGTTCACGTTTGAAGAAATGCATCGAACGTTTGCACTGCACAAAATTAAGCAATCAAAAGATGATTTTATCTTCAGCTTTTTCATTGCAGTACCAAAGAGTTTATGACCTTGAAATTGAATGAAATTTCCAAACGTAATGCCATCACTTTGTCCACGTACTTCAACAGGKTTTATAGCGATGATTTTGGACAAAAAGAAAGAAAGAGCTAAATATTTGGTCATCATTGTATTACCACTGAAGTGTTTGTTTTGTGTTTTATTTGTTAGTTTTCAAAGTACAGGTGTTTTCAATTCAAAATCTATTTTCGCAGCTGGAGGAAACAGCTCTTATACAGTTCTCTTTGCAATAGATTTGATCGGGCAGTTTGAATAATATTTCTAAAATAACTGGTATATAACACGCGCTGCGATTGGTCATTGCTTTTGTCGTTTTGCAGTCTGAGAGACAGGAAACCCCCAAAATRTTATATTGCAAGGAATTGGTAGGGAAGACCTTTAAGGCTGGACGGTGCCCTTCGGTTTCATAGTGRCCTGTAAGACTTGGCCAATGAGACAACGTGAGGATGATGTTTGATGACAGTATCAAGCACGGTTTGGTTCCTTCACAGCCACTGGCAAAGAYATGGCCAGAAATTCCGGACATTTGAACCCGGGACGAGTCAGCGGGTTTTCCCACCAAAATAGAGCTTTCTACAAGTTCCCTTGTGGTTTGAACTTTTGAAGATCAAATTTTCTACTGTTGTGCAACGATCCTTTATCTTAATACAATACTGGGCTAAAATCGGAACGTTCAAAACACCGAAAAACGAGTATTGGGATAGCACGCCCTGATCCTTGAGTTCATTAGTGGCTTGTGAGGTGGTCGTTTGGAATGTTCATAGTGTACATAATAATATTTGCTGGAACACACGTTTCACTCAGGTATTTTAAACAATGATCATCAGTTGATATTGTGATCTATCTGCGCTATTTACCAGTGCGCGCAAGGCGCCAGTAAAAACCTCCAAAATTAAAGCAGTCCCAGTCTGAAAGCCAAGTTTCTAAGGTATATTTTGGTACCAAACATGGATAATAAAATGGAAGATCAGGCCAAGTATTCGCGTGAAACACGCGTCTTCGCCAGCCATTTCAGCGTCAAGTTAGTGTTTTCATGCAAATTGTACGATGTCTAGTACCAAAAAGGACGCTGTTGATCGTCTTCAAAATAGCTGAAAATCGCTGTGTTCCTACCTCAATATGTGGACTTTGAGAAATGATCTATGGAATATCAGTGACATGTAAAGGAACACGATCAGCTACGGTGAAATTTCGCTTCTTCGCGAATTTTCACCATGAGATACAAGCCCAAAGGGAGACGAAAATAAATTGTCAAAAAGGACGCTGCTAGCAATATTGGATTTATTTGGATTTCCTACAGTGGAATCAAGAATAGTTTCCCTCTACGAATTCATCTATGGAATCTTTCCAGTTAAAACAGATGAAATGCTATTCTCAAATATATTTTTTTTGATCCATACATTTCTTTGTAAAATTTACAAACATGTTTTTATGCATTTATGCGAAGTACCGCTGCTATTGCGGGCTAAAATGTCCGGATTTTCTGGCCATGAATTACTCCACTTAGCATTACAAGACTATAAGCTTAACACCGTATAAAAGTAGGTGAAACAACTTACTTAAAAGAATTAGGAAGTTGTCCTTAAGTAKTATTGTGAGTTAAAATGGGAGTTGAGGGACGTACTAAATTTCGAAATTCAAGTTTTGACAAGCTTTCGCCGGACGCCTGCATCATAAGGTCACGAATGAATATAACACAACAGTAAAACTAGCAAAATAAGTATCAGTAGTGTACGGCCCTCATTTCAACTTACTGACGTTTCGGACATTAATCCTTCGTCGGAGTAAAGAGAT